ATCCACCATATATCACTCTACCAATGAAATCGAATCTGAAACATAATCGCATATCCTTCTCCAATACTTTGCAGCTTGTTGTACCAACTACTTCTTACTAAGAACTAAACGAAACAGAATAAGAAAAAGATCAAGAAATAGAAAAAGAAACTGATACAGAATGAAACAGAAAATCAATAAATTGCCACGATACTGAAAATAAAGCCTAATCAAAAAATAAACCAACACACGAGCGACATCCATATGCAAAGCCTGCGTCTGCGCTCTGCACCTGCAACTGCACCTCCAAAAACAGGCGGAGGCCTCTCGATCCTTTGGGGGAAAAGCAGTCGGGTGGTCTGTGGCCGCCGGGTGTCCCAGAGCCAGTGCCTGTGTGTGTTTGTGTGTGCTGGTGCTCTGGTAGACTATAAATCAAAATAAACCCATAACTCTACGCTGAATATGCATACATATAATCCCAATCGAATCGAAATCCGTACAGTGGCTTCAGGTTGCGCGTTTAGGTGTGTATGAACTATCCAAATTATCGCTAATCGTTAAGTGTCTATATCTCTGGTAATCTCTTTCGTTCTTTGTTGTAATTGTTGCTCTGTTGTTTGTCTCGTACGTATGCAAATCTAGCTCTAAGTAAGATCTATTATAGACCTGCCTGCATCTGTCTTGTCTTCCTCTCATCTGTCTATGTTTTATGCTTTCTCTGTACTACGTATTTTGCCCTGCAACTCGATACCTCCACCTCCTGCCTGAGCGTAATCTTTAGTTTAGTATATATTACTTTACTGCATAGTCTTGGCGCGAGTTTGTCCCCGGCTTTAGCTAAATCTTTGCCTTTCCCAACTTTTGCAGGAGCAGCAACAACAGGAGGCAGCAGTGGCAGCGTCGGCGGCTGGACAGCAACCGGTGCAGGTGCAGATTCTGCCCGATGGTCATATACACGGCAAGGTCATCAAGTACGAGATTTGTCGCAGTGTGCTACCAGAGGATCAGGCCACAGCACAGCAACAGCAGCAGGCAGGCATGGATGTCGAGTAGACGAGAGCACCTCGATGTGGAATGTAAATATGTAGATGACCAGGACACCAGGCCGCACGGATACGGACACAGACACGCACAACCCTCCCAGAAGTGTCCTCAAATTGGCGCATATGGCGATTCCCATAATTGTAATGTTTTAGTTAGTTCTTAGACTATCGGATAAGTAATCGGAGTGTACACATAATATTGGTTAGCTAGCGTTACACACATGCATATACTACCTACCTACCACTTACATAGACCTATGTAACACCCCTTTACATATATATATATATAATATATATATACAGACATATATATATATATACGATATATATAGACATACGCGTAGAGTATCTGTTAATTTTGCGATGCGTTGGTCGCATCTAAAACATCAACCTGTTTGCGTTGCGAGTTTTAAAGATTTACGTTCGATGGTTTAATGCATTACCCGACATTTACTAACAATTATACAACCATATATAGGAATAACATAAATGCTAATTGTAAAATGTATACATATTAACAGAAACAAACAAAAAATATACATAGACCACTACGAATAGTTTTAGACACTAGCAGGCGTTGCACTTGAAGAATACATACGTAACCGGCTCCAATGGGAGTGGGTGTGAAGCTTCACGAGTGAAGTGTGGGCATTCCTGTCCAGACGCACGCGATTGTACATACAAAATAACAGAATAGAAGCAACGACCCGAAGAACAGAACGGGTCCGAGATTGAGTGTGGAGTGCAGTAGGTGCCTGGCACAGTAACTAGCTAACAGATACTATATCTAACACGAAACGCAGCAGGCATATGAAGCAAATCTCTAGATTTAAGAAACAGTAGGACACAATATATACCACACACACACTTAGGGAGAAGACGACGACACCAGCCTATCAAGGAGAAACTCAGAAAATAATCAGCATAAATAAGTAGCTACTTGCATCCGGATCCCGAGATCAGATCCCGGATGCCTATGCACGCTAGGCGACGAATATCACACTGTAAAAAGTCTACTTTAAGACCGAAGAGTGCGTGGGAGTGGGCGTGGTCTTGGTTAGGGTGGGTGCCAGCAGTAGTACGAGTAATTGGTAATTATTGCAATCTGATAAATGAAACAATAATTAATGAACCTACACTAAGCATATATTTTAATATGTAAGCCTTAAAGAAATACAAAACAGAAAGTATGAATAATAATAATAAACAAAGAAAATGTGTGAGTTTAGTGTTTTTGCCAAGTGACTCTGATCTTTTACAGCTGGACTACACCCCGATATGGGGTATATTGGAAAAGTACAGGCTCTTTCCTCGCTAAACTTTCGCATAAAGTAACGATCGCTTAATCTACTTGTTCTACCTATAGATAAGACTAGCGCCACGAAACAGTGCGTTTCAGCAGCATATGACAGTCCAAGGTTAAGATCTGCCGGAGATTGTGAGCTGAAATCATTCGGCAAGTGCTGTATTGTCCAAGGAACTTTCTTTGTGCCATATATGTATGTATGCACTACTCGTATGAATGAATAATCTATAAATATATTTGCTGATTAAATAAGCGAAAACAAACATTTGCCACTTTGACTGTGAGTCAATTCCCCCTGCCATTTCGCAACCGAAAATTCATCGAATAATTATGGTAGTACTGCGACAAAGTCCCTCCCTATGCAAATTCCACAGTCGAAAATTTAAGTTTGATAAGATAAAACCGAAATGCTTGGAATACTCTCGTACGGCTACCGGGTACATACTTGTGTAAGCACAATGTTTTGGCTAATGATTTTGGTCAGGCGTCGTACACTTCATATGTGGGGGGTTCTGTCTCCCGATAGACCCGGGCACGTCGGCAACGTTGAACATGCGCCACAAGCAACGCGGCGGACCGTAGTCATTACAATTCATTGATCAGCGAATACTTTTAATTGTTTATAATTTTTTGAGCGACGAATATAGTATAATTTATGCCACTGCTACGTGACTGGGCCCTCCGCATGCACATATGGGCATCGATTGGACATAGTTGGACAGTTTGGCAGCGAGAAAATGCTGTTTGTAGACCCTGCCCTAAAAGTGCATTGTGTAATGATCCCAGGTCCAGTACCAGCCAGTACTCGTAAAAACTGATTCGGAGATGCGAGTTATTTCGGCCGCCTGCCAAATAAGGGCCGACATGGACACGTTACCTTGGAGTGCATTTCGGTTTATTGTTGAATTAAAATTAATTGAACTTGGGGCTACAGCAGCGACTGCTCCGACTGCCAAAAGTTGCGCATAAATTTCGTGTACGCCTCTGTCAGTGTCGTCTCAGCATTCAATTTCAATTCCAAGGAAATCTGTGAGATGGCGCGATGTCATCATCTACAGTCTCTACAGTAGAGATCTACTGGAATCCGTCTCTAATTAGTCACTCTGAGAGCGAGCAGTGCACTGCACCCAGTGCCATAGTTTCCAATTGGCATTTGATCTGAATTGCAGCTTGTCCCAGTTCCAGCGCCAGTTCTAGTTCCAGCTGCAGTTCCCCATATGTGCTTCATGCCCATGCCCATGTCTGGGGTCCGCACTGTACGGTTCGTGTGCTCTGTGAATGCTAAGCAGGCTCCACTGTATTCTCCACTTAATTTTGCATTGTATCTTTTCTCTATTTGTGTTTTTCGTGTGCTTTTATTATGTGTGCTTCGGCGGCAAACAAGTTTTGATTGCTTTTGGCTTCGCATGAAAATGAGCTGAAGCTCGAAGTCGCTCGACCCGTATGACGTCAGTCTTGAATTAGGCAAGAATTGGGACTGTTTTTCTTGATAGATCTGAGTGGTATACAGAACTTGTACTCGTACTCGTCCACCCTCGATCCGGAGGCCGAGCCGGGGCTCTCTTGGGAGGCAGCACTCCGATTTTGGGCATAGCCGCTTTCCGATGCTTTTCATTCGCACCCACCAAAGGCCGTTATAAATCAATTGGGCCATTGCTTATACTTACATACATAAATCTTGATCCGAATGGAGCTTACTCAGCTCTCTGCTGGGTTCTGGTCTTGTCTGGTCTTGCCGGGGGCGCCCACGTAGCGCCGTCGGGCTAGACGAGCGAAAAAGTATCTACAAACTTGGCGAACATGCTGCTGCTGACTAATCAGCGTCAGATACTATTCATAATTTAGTTGTGCATCCGCCAGACACAGTCGTAGACCAATTTTGGATTTGCCGATCTGGCTTTTTGGATGATTCTGCGCAGGCGCACGCCCTGCACCTTCGTGTCTGTCTGTCTGTCTGTCCGCCTCTCTGCCTCTGGCTCTCAATAGCCCTCTTTGATGGCCGCCTGTCGGTCATCATACATCTGTTTGTTTTGTTTTTACTGCCACTTTCACAAAAGATCGATATTCGTGTTGTGTTTATTACCCGTATATCTTGCAGAGGGTACTATTATTTTTTACAGATGTTTGCCGCAAGGTGAAAAAACCTCTACGCCTAGAGAATAAAAAAGCATCGTTTTCCCATATCCGATCTCGTTTTCTGTGCTTAATTATCCCTACATACTACAATCCCTCATGCCCCGCCACACAGAAAATTAATCAAAATCTCATGACTAAATCAAATAAGTAAGATCGATCTGTAAGGGTATTCGTAGCGTCGATCGCCGTACCTTATGGCTTCCTTTCTTATTGGCTTATTGAACTCGGAGTTCGTGTTTCGTGGCAGCCAAAAGCGGCAAAGCGGCCTACGCATCCGTCAGATACTCTGCTATACCTACGCTCCACAGCCGCAGCCGCATTCGCAGTCGCTGCTCTGGCCGGGCCTGGCTTTTTGCGAAGGCGTTGTGCCTCTCCCGTTCCCGTTCCCACTCGCTAACGCTCATGAGTCCAAAGCTCCAACGACCGAAAACCCACAAACGCTGCTGCTGCTGCCACTGCTGCTGCTTTCGAGTGGCGGCAGCGCACAGATAGTCGCTTGAAAGCCGTTCCAGACGCGATCAGTACGTTTTGAGTTGTGCTTCGCGACGGTTGCTGATCTTCCAGTGCTCCCAAATAAATATAAAATAAGAAAAAAAACCGAAAAGTATCTCCTCCTCACAAGCCTCTGTAGTATCTCCATCTCTATCTGTCCCTCTATCTGTGGCTGCATCTGTAACTCTCTCCCGTGAGAGTCTTGCGAGTGTGCGCTAGTGTGCGAGTGCTAAGCTTTTTGCTGTCGCCTGTCTGTGAGGGTATTGGTGCTTCGGCCTGAACTATGGTTCGCGTGTGATCGTGTGCGTCCAACACTCGTACGTATCGTAATTTAAAAATAAGTATTTCGACATTCCGCCGTGGAAACGATGTGACATACCAGTCCAGATACCCACCACAACCACAACGAAGCAACGAAACAACAAAACAAAACGATCTATACCGCGAAATATTATTATTAACCCCTTCCAGGGCCAAGAGCAGCGAAAATTGTGATTAACAAACGAACCCCGACCCCAAATTAGACCCAAAAACCAACCAGGTGCAACACCAGTCTCTCACTCTCTCAGTCAGCGATTACCTCATCTGTGTCAAAATGGTATCAAAAAGCAGTAAAAAGAAACAAGTGTCGCAGCAGCAGCAGCAGCAACAGCAGCAGCAGCCGCCAGCCACATCGACCACAACCACATCGTCGTCGGCCTCGGCCACGAAGCTCACCAAGCAACTGGGACCCGACGCCACAGCGACCCTCACCACCAAGAGCAGCTCCACCTCAATGGAGCACGAGTCCGTGTCGTATGGAGAGCCACTGGCAAGCACCTCATCCGCCACTCCTTTAATCTCCACTCCTGGGCCAGTGGCCAGCACTTCATCCTTGAGTCCCATGCCAGCGGCTGGTGTCAGGAGCTACAGCAGCAGCAAGAGCAAGGCAGCCATGTCCAGCTCGCAATCCTCATACACAGAGCAATCTCAGTCCAAGTTGCAGTCCAAATCCCAGTCGCAGTCGGAGCAGTATAGCAGCAGCAGCAGCAGCACCGCCAAGATCTCCAGGGATTACTCCGACGAGAAGATCATTGCCTCGATCGATCTGCTGGAGAGTGAGAAGAAGGAGCCAGTGTTCTCCGTTCCCATCGAGGTGGTGGAGATCACAACGCCCACGCTTCCCATGTCGGCCAGCGGCGGCAGCCTCTCCAAGATGTACACGTCCTCGTCCATGTCTTCCAGCCAGCAGCAGCAGCAGGCGAGCAGCAGCTCCACATACTTCGCCTCCACAACCAGTTCCAGCTCCATTCGGAGCGCCAATGAAACGCTCATTTCAAGCGAGAGAGCCGACGCAGCGGCTACCGGTATGACATCATCCGGCGCGAGGAAACAGGTTGGCTTTGACACGAGCAGTAGCACCAACACCAATACCAATACGAATACCAACATCAAAAGCAGCAGCAGCAGCAGCAACAGCAACAGTAAAAGCTTCAGCGAATCTCAGAGCGTGCCAAAGCTGCCACCGGCCAGCGGAACAGCTGATGGGCCCGACACATCGGTGACGTCGTCAAGTGGCCCCGAACCGGTTGCCGCGCCGTCTACCGCGACCACAACAAAGGCGACGTCATCCCTCTCGCAGAACGATAAACTGGAACTATTGTCGGGAACCGCTGCCACAACAGCTGTGGACCACAACAGAGCCACGTCATCGACGTCCAACAAAGAGGTCAGCGAGAGCACCACACGGAGCAGCTCGAGCAGCACAAAGCAGTCCAGTTTGTCGTCCAAGAAAGAAGTGTATGACGTGAAGACCAAAACCTGGACGGAGCTCAGCGATGGCACCACCACCCTGCCTGGTGGCAGCACAAGCAAGCCCACCTTCGAGCGGTACGTCAGCAAGGAGTCGGACGGGAGCAGCAAGGTGACATACAAGAAGAAGATATACGACAGGCGCAACAATAGGTGGCGCGTAGTGGACGAACGGACTGTGGACAGCACCAATGACCGGGGCTATCCCGAAATAGTCGATGATGTCATCAACACAACCACCACAACATACACCACCAAGGTGTATGACACGAAGCTCGGCAAGTGGACGGTCGTCGACGAGAAGTCGTACAGAGATAGCAAAGCTTTCGTGCCCAATGACATTGCTCGTGAAATCGAGAGAGATAATACCGATGTGGCAAACATAACAACTACCACGGAGGTAACAAAGGTAAGTCATAGATTGTGCGTGACGGGGCGCCACACCAGTCATTCCACAGCCAAGCACCGCGCCATTCCCCTGGGTGTGTTTCTTTTTGGATTTTTGTTCATATTTTAAACTGTTCGAATTAGATATTCGATGCGAGCATCAACGATTGGCGTGTTCTGGACGAAAAGGTGCACACGGATGTCATTGAGAAGATTGTAGAGACGCCCAAGAAGACCATCTATGTGGATGAGTTTGTGGAGATTGAGAAGAACACCTCGATTTCGGAGAACAATGAGAATATAACCCTGAATCTGAACGAAACATCGAAACACAAAAATATTACCGAGAATATTTATGATGAAATCGATTATGTGCGCACCGATAAGAAACGCTTAGACGATTCAAGAAACGTAAGTAGATTAGCGTACATATGAGACGATAGTACCTGACGAATAATTCCTATATATTCCGTCTTCTGTCTTCTCCAGCGTGGAGTCGTCAAGAACAAAAATACCACGCATAGCGAGCGGTGCATCTGTGAGATCTGCACATGCGGGTAAGAATCGCATAATGCACACCCATAGAGTACTTCTCTGAAATATAAATATTCCCCATTTCAGACGACATCACTGCTCAACCAGCACAACGAAATCCACAGAAAATACAATCATTGAAACCGATGGCAAGTATATTCATATAAAACGAAGATTCTCGTATATTAATAGGTTGACATCTCAACAGACACCCTCGATGAAGCATACACAAGAGTACGTACAAATACCTGGTCGAAGAGAGACAATGGAAACATTCCCAAGCCAAACGAAGACATATTAGTGGACTACGTAGTGATAAAGAAGCCAGAAGACAACCTAAAACCTGAAGGAGACTTCGTAGTGCCTCAAAAAGAGCCATACAAGCCCGGCGAGAGGCGTGAGAAAATTGTGCACACAGACAATTTGCGGACAGAGGGAGAAATGACATTCAACGAGAGGGAGGAGTATCAATACACTGTCCGTCCTGGATATGTGAAGCCTACGGACAACCTGAAGCCCGAGGGCGAGTTCTACAGCCCAGAGAAGCCAAAATATCAGCCTGGGGACCGCCCAACACAAGTACGACACACGGATAACTTGCGACCCGAAGGCGAGTTCTATACGCCCGACAAGCCAGGCTATACACCAGCCGATCGACCCACCCAAAAGAAGCCCTTGGATAACCTTAAGCCGGAAGGAGAATTCTTTGCGCCGGAAAAACCCTCCTATCGGCCAGGAGAAAGACCACAGAAAATTATCCGCAGTGACAACTTGCGCACTGAAGGAGAAATGACCTTTGTGGAAAAGGAGGAGTACCAATTTGTGGTTCGACCAGGCCAAGTAAAGCCCACTGATAACCTCAAGCCAGAGGGAGAATTCTACAGTCCGGAGAAACAAGGCTTCAGACCCGCTGAGAGACCTGTCCAGAAAAAGCCGGAAGATAACTTAAAGCCCGAGGGAGACTTCTACAGTCCCGAAAAGCAGAAGTATACGCCTGGAGAACGCCCTACCCAAGTCAGACCTGAAGACAATCTCCGACCAGAGGGAGAATTCTACAGTCCGGAGAAACCCAAATACAGACCAGGCGATCGTCCAACTCAAATAAGGCATGAAGACAATCTGAAGCCCGAAGGGGACTTCTACACTCCAGAAAAACAAGGATACCAGCCCAGTGAACGTCCATCCCAAGTACGACCCGAAGACAATCTCCGACCTGAGGGAGAGTTCTACACTCCGGAGAAGCCAGGATTCAGACCCGCTGAGAGACCAGTCCAGAAGAAACCGGAAGACAACCTGAAGCCCGAGGGAGACTTCTACAGTCCCGAAAAGCAGAAGTATACGCCTGGAGAACGCCCTACCCAAGTCAGACCTGAAGACAATCTCCGACCCGAGGGAGAGTTCTACGCTCCGGATAAGCCAGGATTTAGACCAGCTGAGAGACCAGTCCAAAAGAAGCCGGAAGACAACCTGAAGCCAGAGGGAGACTTCTACAGTCCCGAAAAGCAGAAGTACACACCAGGAGAGCGTCCATCCCAAGTTAGACCTGAAGACAATCTCCGACCTGAGGGAGAGTTCTACACTCCAGAGAAGCCAGGATTCAGACCCGCTGAGAGACCAGTTCAGAAGAAACCTGTGGATAACCTGAAACCCGAGGGAGAGTTCACAAAGCCTGAGAAACAGGTTTACAAACCTGCGGATAAGAATGAAAGGATCATTCGTAAGGACAACCTACGTAGCGAAGGTGAAATGACGTTCGTCGAAAAACAGGAGTATCAATACGTGGTTCGTCCTGATCAAGTAAGACCGACGGATAACCTGAAGCCAGAGGGAGACTTCTACAGTCCCGAAAAGCAGAAGTATACGCCTGGAGAACGCCGCCCTACCCAAGTCAGACCTGAAGACAATCTCCGACCCGAGGGAGAGTTCTACGCTCCGGATAAGCCAGGTTGCCACTGAGCCAGTCCAAAAGAAGCCGGAAGACAACCTGAAGCCAGAGGGAGACTTCTACAGTCCCGAAAAGCAGAAGTACACACCAGGAGAGCGTCCATCCCAAGTTAGACCTGAAGACAATCTCCGACCTGAGGGAGAGTTCTACACTCCAGAGAAGCCAGGATTCAGACCCGCTGAGAGGCCAGTTCAGAAGAAACCTGTGGATAACCTGAAACCCGAGGGAGAGTTCACAAAGCCTGAGAAACAGGTTTACAAACCTGCGGATAAGAATGAAAGGATCATTCGTAAGGACAACCTACGTAGCGAAGGTGAAATGACGTTCGTCGAAAAACAGGAGTATCAATACGTGGTTCGTCCTGATCAAGTAAGACCGACGGATAACCTGAAGCCAGAGGGAGACTTCTACAGTCCCGAAAAGCAGAAGTATACGCCTGGAGAACGCCCTACCCAAGTCAGACCTGAAGACAATCTCCGACCCGAGGGAGAGTTCTACGCTCCGGATAAGCCAGGATTTAGACCAGCTGAGAGACCAGTCCAAAAGAAGCCGGAAGACAACCTGAAGCCAGAGGGAGACTTCTACAGTCCCGAAAAGCAGAAGTACACACCAGGAGAGCGTCCATCCCAAGTTAGACCTGAAGACAATCTACGACCTGAGGGAGAGTTCTACACTCCGGAGAAGCCAGGATTCAGACCCGCTGAGAGACCAGTTCAGAAGAAACCCGTGGATAACCTGAAACCCGAGGGAGAGTTCACAAAGCCTGAGAAACAGGTTTACAAACCTGCGGATAAGAATGAAAGGATCATTCGTAAGGACAACCTACGTAGCGAAGGTGAAATGACGTTCGTCGAGAAACAGGAGTATCAATACGTGGTGCGTCCTGATCAAGTAAGACCGACGGATAACCTGAAGCCAGAGGGAGACTTCTACAGTCCCGAAAAGCAGAAGTATACGCCTGGAGAACGCCCTACCCAAGTCAGACCTGAAGACAATCTCCGACCCGAGGGAGAGTTCTACAGTCCTGAGAAACCCAAGTACAGGCCAGGAGAGCGACCATCTCAAGTCAGACCTGAAGACAATCTCCGACCCGAAGGGGAGTTCTACCTCCGGAGAAGCCAGATTCAGACCCGCTGAGAGCCAGCCAGAAGAAGCCGCAAACAACCGAACCCAGGAACCACGTCCCGAAAGCAGAAGATACCCTAGAACGCCCTACCCAAGTCAGACCTGAAGACAATCTACGACCTAGGGAGAGTTCTACACTCCGGAGAAGCCAGGATTCAGACCCGCTGAGAGACCAGTTCAGAAGAAACCCGTGGATAACCTGAAACCAGGGAGAGTTCACAAAGCCTGAGAAACAGGTTTACAAACCTGCGGATAAGAATGAAAGGATCATTCGTAAGGACAACCTACGTAGCGAAGGTGAAATGACGTTCGTCGAGAAACAGGAGTATCAATACGTGGTGCGTCCTGATCAAGTAAGACCGACGGATAACCTGAAGCCAGAGGGAGACTTCTACAGTCCCGAAAAGCAGAAGTATACGCCTGGAGAACGCCCTACCCAAGTCAGACCTGAAGACAATCTCCGACCTGAGGGAGAGTTCTACAGTCCAGAGAAACCCAAGTACAGGCCAGGAGAGCGTCCATCTCAAGTCAGACCTGAAGACAATCTCCGACCCGAGGGAGAGTTCTACGCTCCGGAGAAGCCAGGATTCAGACCCGCTGAGAGACCAGTCCAAAAGAAGCCGGAAGACAACCTGAAGCCCGAGGGAAACTTCCCTACAGCTCCCGAAAAAGGAATTATACGCCTGGAGACACCTACCAAGTCAGACCTGAAGAACAGCAGTAGAAGGGGTCCATCTACACTCCGGAGAAGCCAGGATTCAGACCCGCTGAGAGACCAGTTCAGAAGAAACCCGTGGATAACCTGAAACCCGAGGGAGAGTTCACAAAGCCTGAGAAACAGGTTTACAAACCTGCGGATAAGAATGAAAGGATCATTCGTAAGGACAACCTACGTAGCGAAGGTGAAATGACGTTCGTCGGAAAAGCCAGGAGTATCAATCCGTGGTGCGTCCTGATCAAGTAAGAAGGACGGATAACCTGAAGCCAGAGGGAGACTTCTACAGTCCCGAAAAGCAGAAGTATACGCCTGGAGAACGCCCTACCCAAGTCAGACCTGAAGACAATCTCCGACCCGAGGGAGAGTTCTACAGTCCTGAGAAACCCAAGTACAGGCCAGGAGAGCGACCATCTCAAGTCAGACCTGAAGACAATCTCCGACCCGAAGGGGAGTTCTACGCTCCGGAGAAGCCAGGATTCAGACCCGCTGAGAGACCAGTCCAGAAGAAGCCGGAAGACAACCTGAAGCCAGAGGGAGACTTCTACAGTCCCGAAAAGCAGAAGTACACACCAGGAGAGCGTCCATCCCAAGTTAGACCTGAAGACAATCTCCGACCTGAGGGAGAGTTCTACACTCCGGAGAAGCCAGGATTCAGACCCGCTGAGAGACCAGTTCAGAAGAAACCCGTGGATAACCTGAAACCCGAGGGAGAGTTCACAAAGCCTGAGAAACAGGTTTACAAACCTGCGGATAAGAATGAAAGGATCATTCGTAAGGACAACCTACGTAGCGAAGGTGAAATGACGTTCGTCGAGAAACAGGAGTATCAATACGTGGTGCGTCCTGATCAAGTAAGACCGACGGATAACCTGAAGCCAGAGGGAGACTTCTACAGTCCCGAAAAGCAGAAGTATACGCCTGGAGAACGCCCTACCCAAGTCAGACCTGAAGACAATCTCCGACCCGAGGGAGAGTTCTACAGTCCTGAGAAACCCAAGTACAGGCCAGGAGAGCGACCATCTCAAGTCAGACCTGAAGACAATCTCCGACCCGAAGGGGAGTTCTACGCTCCGGAGAAGCCAGGATTCAGACCCGCTGAGAGACCAGTCCAGAAGAAGCCGCAAGACAACCTGAAGCCCGAGGGAAACTTCTACAGTCCCGAAAAGCAGAAGTATACGCCTGGAGAACGCCCTACCCAAGTCAGACCTGAAGACAATCTCCGACCTGAGGGAGAGTTCTACACTCCGGAGAAGCCAGGATTCAGACCCGCTGAGAGACCAGTTCAAACGAAACCCGTGGATAACCTGAAACCCGAGGGAGAGTTCACAAAGCCTGAGAAACAGGTTTACAAACCTGCGGATAAGAATGAAAGGATCATTCGTAAGGACAACCTACGTAGCGAAGGTGAAATGACGTTCGTCGAGAAACAGGAGTATCAATACGTGGTGCGTCCTGATCAAGTAAGACCGACGGATAACCTGAAGCCAGAGGGAGACTTCTACAGTCCCGAAAAGCAGAAGTATACGCCTGGAGAACGCCCTACCCAAGTCAGACCTGAAGACAATCTCCGACCCGAGGGAGAGTTCTACAGTCTGCCCGTGGCGGGGCCAGTAGCTGAGCCTCCCCGGGGGCCCGGAGCCTTGCCCGCTGAGAGCCAGTCAGGACCGCAGACAACCTGGCCGGAACTCTCGTCCGAAAAGCAGAGACACACCGGGGTCCCAAGTAGACCTGAAGACAATCTCCGACCTGAGGGAGAGTTCTACGCTCCGGAGAAGCCAGGATTCAGACCCGCTGAGAGACCAGTTCAAAAGAAACCCGTGGATAACCTGAAACCCGAGGGAGAGTTCACAAAGCCTGAGAAACAGGTTTACAAACCTGCGGATAAGAATGAAAGGATCATTCGTAAGGACAACCTACGTAGCGAAGGTGAAATGACATTCGTCGAGAAACAGGAGTATCAATACGTGGTGCGTCCTGATCAAGTAAGACCGACGGATAACCTGAAGCCAGAGGGAGACTTCTACAGTCCCGAAAAGCAGAGGTATACGCCTGGAGAACGCCCTACCCAAGTCCGACCTGAAGACAATCTCCGACCCGAGGGAGAGTTCTACAGTCCTGAGAAACCCAAGTACCGGCCAGGAGAGCGTCCATCTCAAGTCAGACCTGAAGACAATCTCCGACCTGAGGGAGAGTTCTACACTCCCGAGAAGCCAGGATTCAGACCCGCTGAGAGACCAGTTCAGAAGAAACCCGTGGATAACCTGAAACCCGAGGGGGAGTTCACAAAGCCTGAGAAACAGGTTTACAAACCTGCGGATAAGAATGAAAGGATCATTCGTAAGGACAACCTACGTAGCGAAGGTGAAATGACGTTCGTCGAGAAACAGGAGTATCAATACGTGGTGCGTCCTGATCAAGTAAGACCGACGGATAACCTGAAGCCAGAGGGAGACTTCTACAGTCCCGAAAAGCAGAGGTATACGCCTGGAGAGCGCCCTACCCAAGTCAGACCTGAAGACAATCTCCGACCCGAGGGGGAGTTCTACGCTCCGGAAAAGCCAGGATTCAGACCCGCTGAGAGACCAGTCCAGAAGAAGCCGCAAGACAACCTGAAGCCCGAGGGAGACTTCTACAGTCCCGAAAAGCAGAAGTATACGCCGGAGACGCCCCCAAGTCAGACCTGAAGACAATCCCACCCGAGGGGACTACAGCCGGAAACCAAGACAGGCCAGGAGAGCGTCCATCCCAAGTCAGACCTGAAGACAATCTCCGACCTGAGGGAGAGTTCTACTCTCCGGAGAAGCCAGGATTCAGACCCGCTGAGAGACCAGTTCAGAAGAAACCCGTGGACAACCTGAAACCCGAGGGAGAGTTCACAAAGCCTGAGAAACAGGTTTACAAACCTGCGGATAAGAATGAAAGGATCATTCGTAAGGACAACCTACGTAGCGAAGGTGAAATGACGTTCGTCGAGAAACAGGAGTATCAATACGTGGTGCGTCCTGATCAAGTAAGACCGACGGATAATTTGAAGCCAGAGGGAGACTTCTACAGTCCCGAAAAGCAGAGGTATACGCCTGGAGAACGCCCTACCCAGGTCAGACCTGAAGACAATCTCCGACCCGAGGGAGAGTTCTACGCTCCGGAGAAGCCAGGATTCAGACCCGCTGAGAGACCAGTCCAGAAGAAGCCGGAAGATAACTTAAAGCCAGAGGGAGAATTTTACAGTCCGGAAAAACAAAAGTACAGGGCAGGAGAGCGTCCATCTCAAGTCAGACCTGAAGATAATCTCCGACCTGAGGGAGAGTTCTACACTCCGGAGAAGCCAGGATTCAGACCCGCTGAGGCCACCAGAGCCGGAAAGAAGCCAGGAATTCAGACCAGCTGAGAGACCATCTCAAGTCAGACCGAAGATAATCCCGCTAGGACAACCTGAGAAGCCGCCCCCTGCCCAACCCGAGGGTGAATTCACGAAGCCTGAGAAACAGGTTTACAAGCCAGGCGACAGAACGGAAAAGATAATCCAGAAAGACAACTTGCGAACGGAGGGTGAAATGAGTTTCGTTGAGAAGAAGGAATATCAATATGTCGTACGACCTGAGCAAGTAAGACCTTTGGATAACTTGAAGCCGGAAGGAGAGTTCTTTAGTCCCGACAAACCGAAATACCAACCAGGCGAGCGAGCTACCGTTGTGCGGCAGAAGGATAACTTAAAGGTGGAGGGAGAGTTTTACTCGCCAGACAAACCAGATTTCCAACCAGCCGAAAGGCTCAAGCAAAAGAAGCCTCAAGATAATTTGCGGCCAGAGGGAGAGATGGTTATGCCAGAAAAGGTGAAATACAAGCCCGCCGATAAGGTTACAAGAGTGGTTCACAAGGATAATCTCCGCTCCGAGGGAGAAATGACTTTCACTGAGAAAACTGAATACCAGCAAGTGGTTAGACCCTCCCCGGTTAGGCCGGAGGACAATCTGAAGACCACGGGTAAGTTCTACGTACCAGAAAAGCCAGCAGTTACAAACGGGGAGCGACCCGAGGCGGTCAGACCCAAGGATAACCTGAAGCCAGAAGGTGTTATGTACACCCCTGAAAAGCCGAAATACGAGCCTGCCTCCAGACCAGAGCAGAAGAGGTATGTGGACAACCTGAAACCCGAGGGCAAGATGCACATGCCGGAAAAGGAATCGTTCAGACCGGCGGATAAGGTGACGACAGTCATCAGGAAGGATAACCTGAAGAGCGAAGGGGAAATGACCTTCACACAGAAGGACGTGTATCACCATGTGAAGCGGCCCGAACAGGTGAAGCCAGTCGACAACCTGAAGGTCGAAGGAGAGTTCTTCACACCCGATAAGAAACCCTTCCGTCCGGCCGAGCGGCCCGTCCAAAAGAAGCCAAAGGACAACCTAAAGCCGGAGGGAGAGTTCTACAAGAGAAGCGACAGGACGGTGACCGATAGCACAACGGTAGAAACCACAAAACGAGAGACGCCCAAGCGACCGGTGGATAACCTCAAGCTGGAAGGTTCCATGACAGTGACCCGAAGGGATGACTATAATCAAAAGGAGACCAACAAGACCACGGTAGAGAAGGTTCAGCGTACACAGAAGTACCAGCATAACAGCTCCTCCATCAGCCTGGGAACCGACACCGCCATTCGCAAGACCACCAACCAGATGAACTATGTGTCCGGCAAGGATGCTGTGAAGCAGGTGGATTCCAACAGCCAGAACCCAGTGGACGGGCTCATTGTGGTGTCCACCACGAAGGTGACCACCGTGATAGGCGCTCGCAACAAGAAGGAGCCCGAAACCGAATACGTAAAGCGCCCAGCCAAGATAAACGTGATCGAGAACGTGGCCAAGAACACCACGACGACGAATATCGAGAACACGCAGAACATCCACAAGGAAACCACCTCCATGCAGAGGAGCCACAATGTTGTCGAGAATACTGCAGTGAACACTGAACAGATCCGTGGGTCGGACGTGTCCAGCAGGGCCATCCAAACAAGCACTACGAATCGTGGCGGTCAGGTCACCAGCGACACCACTGAAGGAGACTCCAACTCCCGTGTAGTGTCCGGAAGAAGCGTCTCGAATAACATAACTGGGGATTCCACGACTCGCGTGTTCTCTGGAAAAACAGTCACCAGCAACGTCACCGAGGACTCCACGTCGAGGGTAGTTTCCGGACGGAACGTCTCCAGCAACATCATTGGAGATTCGTCTACACGCGTGGTGTCCGGAAGAAATGTGAACAACAACATTACTGGGGATTCATCCTCTCGCATGTCGACTGGCAGAAACGTTTCCACAAATATAGCTGGAGACACGTCTTCCCGCGTGATATCCGGTGGCCAAAACGTGACTGATGATTCAACATCGCGAGTCGTTGCGGCCGGAAGGACCTCTAGCAACAACATTGTGACCGGCAGCTCCACATCCCATACGAGCTCCTCCAAGCACTTCCATCACCGCAAGAGCGAGTTCTCCTCGGAGGCTGATGTCTCGAATACGATCTTCCATCGCAAGAACGTCGCCACCGACTCGACTGCGGCCAATGGCAGCAGTCTCACTTCTAACGGCAAGATGATGCGGAAAAGTATTTTAAATCTGCACGAGCAGCCCTCCAGCACGCCTGCCCATGGCAGCGATCGTCAGAGCTACAGCAGCATCCACAGGCAGAACCGGGAGTCGGACCAAAACACCAGCTTCTCCAGTGAGCGTCGCAGCTGCAGTGTCCACAAGGAGAACAGGGAGAGCAACGTTAAGAACTCTTCGTCCATTTCGCGAATCATATCCGGAGGAGGCAGCGGCACTGGCACTGGCACTGACAGCAGATCAACGGTCACACGTACCCAAGTGTTGGGCGGTGGCATCGATTTCCCCTCCCAATCCCACACCCACACCCAAGGCCATGGCAGACGCCACCACCATGTGTCCAGCTCCAGCGGCGGCATCGATTTTCCCTCCTACAGTGCCCACGGAGCCCACACCGAGCGGCTGGTCACCCGGAGGGGCAACCAGTCTTCCATCAGCCTCGGCAGCGACACAAAGTGTACGGGATCGAGTCAATACAAGAGCGAGTATATCACGGCCCCGAGCACCACCTGTGCAGTGCATAATATTAAGAAAGGTGCATTCCAACATACCAGGAGTACTCAAGAACACAAGTTCTTCAAGACCTCAAACTAACGACATATCTGTGGCCTCACTAACACATCCATTTTAATAGTAGTGCGTAAGTTTCCATGACAATATATATCCTTTATATACGAACAATATACATGCCGATCCGCGAGAATCCAGATTAACAAATAAATATCATTTTTCAAAAATAAAAAATCAAGTGTTTCAATATTCGTTTTGGATCAACTGGAGAGATGACGTCTTTATTTGAGAGTTTTAAAAGATGCTAGTGTCGTTTTTTAAGTACTAAGGTATGTATGTATAGGTAACTGTATATTTAAACGTTAAAAAAATCTGCACAATGGTTTCCTTCTGTTTCTATCTATAACATACATACATTTAGATCCGTATCTGTTTAGTGGTGTACAGTGTACACAATATGCAGTTTATTTGTTTAAATTTGTTCAATTTCTCTATAATTCATAATGCGCGTTAATACAATAAATATTTTTCTCTTTTCGTATGTATGTATATATATATATATATATGATTCACTTATTCTAAACTTTATCGTACATGATAAATCATTATTATTCGTGTTTGGAAGACATTTGTTCGCTTGTTTGGAAGACTTGCGTTTCATTTCATTTCGTTTCGTTTCGTTTCTTATAGACTAATATTATTGTTTTGTTTTCGTTTCGAGTGTTTTTGATGAACAGATCGAGGATTTTGGAACACCTTGGGGCACAGCCAAATGATGCCGTAGCACCTGGAAGACATGCCATGCCCAAAGGGGGGAGACCAATAACCCGAGATCTGATTCGATTGGTGGTTTGGGGTAAATGGAGAACTTAGAACGGAAGACCGATCTCGAATGCATTTATCATGGCATTTCCCGAGTCGTAGATGCCGATGACGCCGAAGAGCACGCCCAGGGCAATGATGAGGTAGTCTTTGGCCAATTCCTTCTGGTCGAGCAGGTGACCCTTGATCTTGATGTGGAAATAGCAGGGCCAGATGAAGCTGAGCATGGTGCCCGTAAAGCTACCAATGAAGCCCATCAGTATAGAGAAGTGGGGAATGAAGATGGCCATCAGAATGGTGGACACGATGATGGCCACACGGAAGCCCAGGCCCCAAACCTTCAACTCTCCGTCGAGATTCCAGATGGTTGGGAACTTAGTTTTCGGCGGACCGCGGAAGAAGTTCCGCTCGAGCAACTCGCAGGCGGCGTAGTAGGGCAAGGGGTAGCTGAGGATGGCCTTGATGACCAGGAAGAAGTTCACCATACCCTTGAAGCCCTGCGAGTGCAAGTTGTTGGTAATCACCTGCTGCGTGTCGTTCTGGAAGGTCAGAAAGCAGATGTACCCAAACCCGGCCTTGAACACGGCCGCTGCGATGTGCGACCAGTCGAGCATCCAATTGAACTTGGAACGGTCCGTCATGTTGCCCTCGAGCGTGGGCAGGAAAATTTGGGAGGTGTAGGAGAAGACGATCACGCCCAGCGAGATGGGGAAGTTCTCCATGTCGATGCTGAAGCGGACCTTGGACCAGCCCCAGTCGCCGATCTGCAGCAGGCAGTAGCCGAGAATCACCGCGTTGATCACAATGTGGGACATGGTGCACCAAAAGGACAGGGTCGAGACCATCTTCAGGGACTTGAGGAATCCCATTGGCAGTAGGAAGATGCCCACGAACAGCATCCACGATCGCGAGTCGAACGAGCCCGTCGGATAGGTGCCCGCCAGCAGGTCACCGCAGACCACCACATAGAGGATGCACGTCATCAGGAGCTCAATCAGCTGGGCGATGCTGACTAGCCTGGCACCCAGCTTGGCCCCGAAACATACCTTGGCAATGGCCACGTAGCTGTCGCGCACTCGCACCATCTGGCCGGTGGTGGGGTCCGGCTCGTAGAGGCACTGCACCAGCACCTTTCCCGTGTAGCAGCAGATGTGTGCAATGCCCACCATGGCAATGATGGCCCAGTAACCGCCATGCAGCACGGCGAAGGGCAACGATACGATGAACATGCCTTGGATGGCATTGGTCACGTTCCATGCCGCCTGGTACTCATCGATCTTGCAGCCGCCGCCACCTTCTCCCTCGCAGACGAACGAGCTGCCCTCTGAGGCGATGCTTCCCTGCCTGCAAAGCAATCGGAGTGAGCATTGGGATTGGGTTTGAGCACGGCTGCGGGAAAGGAAACTGATTTGAGGGTTACGCACCTGAAGCCGTCCGTCTGCTGGTATCTGCCATCGTACTCGTTGAAGGTTGTGCTCTGGTACTCGTTCTTGTAGTCGCCCTCGCCCTCGCCATCGCCCTGGTCGTTCGACCAGTTGCCTGTGTTCCGGAACGGATTCGAGCTCATCTCCGTGGTCTGGTCGCCGCCATCCATGCCCGTGTCCATGGCCTGGCCGTTGCCCAAGTTCTGGTGTGGCTGCTGGGGCCTCTGTTGGCTGCTGCCGGGCGGCTGTTCGTACTCCTTGCGCACTGGAATTTGCTGTCGGGCCGTTTGCACGGCCACATTCAGTATATTCTTCAGCGGTGGCAATGGTGTGGCTTTCAATTTGGCTATGAATGACATGGTGGATGCTGGCGATGGGCTACGAGCTTACACAGAGCAGAGCAGAGCACAGATGGTGGTGGTGGTGGTGGGATGGTGGGTGGAGACAGATGGCGGCGGCCGCGTTGGTGTCACGAAAGGCGTTCGACCTGAGGCTTATCGATTTTGCCTATGGATTTGATATGGTGCTGCAATCGATGTGCGCGGCCTGGAGTTCCAGCTCCTCCGCAATGGCTCACGAATAGCTTGACTACGAATTACACTACAGAAAACCACAATCTAGAAATAAAGCTGAATTTTGTCTCAGATTTTGGATGATTGATTTCGACTACTTGGCGCCCTGGCGAATCGAGCACGTTTATCATGCAATTTTCAGATACTTGCACATCCTGCTCACTCAATCTCAATCCTCAATCGATCCAGGCGATCCAGTCGCCGTCCAAATCCAACTGAAAAGGCCGAAAACTAGTGCGGAAATCCGTGTTAAAGTGTGCTTAAAATTTTATGTAACGTGAGAAATGGTTTTGGCCAGTGAATGAGAAAAGAAAATTTTACACTCCAATCGAATGATGATGGCTGGCGCCCAATGCGCAGACTCCAGTTCGCAGTATATATCGGGTGGCTGTCATATGGTCCAGCCACATTCCACACGTAGATGTGGACCCAAAGATGCGTTCCACCCCATCACATTCACATCGATATGCGATTCGTTTCGTTTCGTTTCGATTCGATTACTTCGACTGTACTTTATTCATCTTCTGCTTTATAAAACTTCTAAAAATTGTACAATTTATGTGGATTGGATCATAATCTATATGGGAGGGGGAGGGGGATTCAAAAGGGGGGGCGGGACAACCTAAACCACTCACTAATCTCTAGTTACCAAAAATTACATACATATCTCCGCGATGCCCTTGCCGATGCCAATCTCCATCAGTTGCTGTAACAGGTTTTGCGCACTCCAGCCAGGATGTTGCTAATCTCGTCGTCCTTACGCTGCTGCTGCTCGAAGAGCATCTCCCCGACTCCCACGCCAACACCCACACCCACACCCACGCCCACCATGCCCCCCGGTGCGGGGCCAAAGTGATGGTGATGGGGATGCTGTTGCATGGCTGCCGGATTCGAGGTCACTGTCTGGGCAGGAGGCGCCGATACAGAAGGCGCCGGCGGTGTCTGGTGCGTGGCCTGCTGCTGGGGATGTGTTTGCGCCTGCGTCTGGGTCTGGGTCTGCGTCATGCCCTCATAGCCCCCATAATTGCCGTAGTGGAGGTAGCTGCTTTGCATGGGCTGTGCTCCATAGGGACCGGGCGCTGTCTGCTGGAAGGGCACCGCCAGCTGCAGCGGGAAGGCGGCCAGGCCGGTGGGTGCGTACGGCAGCTGGGTGTAATAGCTCGCTCCGCCGGAACCCGGGGCCGACAGCAGCATGGCATTGTTGTAGGCCTCCGTCTCGTAGTCGTCGTAGTTCTGATTCGTGTCCGGGTACTTGAGGCACTTCTGCGATGCGGATCCGTCCGAGGCGTTGTCCTTGTGCTGCTCCGCGGAGCTGTAGTCCAGGTCGTTGCTCTGGTAGCGGAGAAAGTCCTCGTACTGCATGCCGTAGGCATTGGCGCTGTGATTCGAATGGGGATGGTGATTGGAAAGATATTCGTTGGCGCCCAGCAGGTTGCTGCAGTTGTCCGACATGGACACCGTGTAGCCGCTCATCTCGCTGGCGGAGACGGGTGCGGAGGAGGCGGAGGACGTGGCTGTGGATGTCGCCAAGTTGCAGTGCTGCTGCAGCACACTCGCAACGCTGCCGCGCATCGAACCGCCCTCGTCCTCTGAGGCGGACACTGGCGGATAGAAGGTTCCCTTCACGGAGTGCCCGTGGTCGAGCAGGCCGCGATTGTTGCACGTCACGTACATGCCTCGGGCGGCCACCACCGCCACCGATGTGGGTGCCAGCGGATAGGAGGCGGCGTACAGTCCCTGCTGCGCCTGTGCCTGTGCCTGCGCCTTGCTTTTGTCCTCCGCCTTGGAGAGCTTATCCTGGCGCGCCTTGGCCGCTCGACTGGTCGGCGGCTTCGTTAGCTTCTTGAGCAGCAGGGAGCTATCGTAGCTGCCACCGCCGCCCGTGGGCGATGACTCTGACAGCAGTGCGGGTGGGCAATTGGCGGCCAGCGACTCGATCTGCTCAGTGCTGTCCGCATTGCTGTAGCAGTCCACGGAGCTTGGCGAATACGTGGGCTTCAGGGGCTGCTCGTACTGGTTCTGGTTCTGGTTGGGATTCTGGGGCGTGGAGGAGCACCTGCTCTCGTCGGTGGGCGTGGTGTAGCTGGAGGAGGCGGTGGCCGTTGACAGCGGCGGCGTGGACAGCTTCGGTGTTGCCTTGCCCGCTCCTGTACCGGCAGCAGGTGTGTTCTCTGCCTGATCCTTGCCTCCCGGCTGCATGGAGCGCAGCTTCGACTGCTTGCGGCGTCTCGGCCTGTACTTGTAGTTTGGATGCTCCGTCATGTGGATCACGCGCAGTCGCTCGGCCTCCTCCACGTACGGCCTGCGGTCCTGCGGCGTCAACGATCGCCATTTCTTGCCTAAAACAAGGGTGAAGAAGGAGGAGGAGGAGGAGAAGAGATTACAGATCGCTCACAGCTAGCATTTTGGGACGAACTTAAGCCATGGGAGTCAGGGTTGGATCGATTGATTGGACACTTACCCAACATCTTGCTGAGGTCCGCGTTATGCAGGTCGGGATTCTCGTCGGCCAGCTTCTTGCGCTCGATCTTGGCCCACACCATGAACGCGTTCATTGGCCGGCGGATGCGCGACTCTTTGGCACTTTTTGACTGGGTTGCGCCCGGCCTGTACTTCAGGTCGGCGGCCATGGGCTTGTGCCTCTCCAGGTAGCCACAATTGGGGGCACACAGGTCGCCCTTGTAGTCGTAGCTCCACATGGACGCGGGCTCGATGGGCGAATGGGAGGCGCACTCCTCCATGGAGCCCCCACTCACCATACCGGGATGCGGATGTGACAGAAACTTGTTCAGCACCGAGGAGCAGCCGCCGCCACCCAGCAGCGGTATGTTGCTGCTGATCAGCGACCCGGACGCACTGCCTCCCCCACCGCCCACATACGCACTCGACACCATGGGCATCGGCGAGTGGCTGTGCACCGAGAGCACCGCCTCGTTCAGCGAGTGCTCGTTCTCGTAGCCGGAGCTCTGTATGGCTGGCGAGTGGAGGCTGGGCGAGGAGTGTTCACTGCCCTGGCGCACATGGTAGAGGCCCGACTCGCCAGCCCCATCGTGCATCAGGCGGCCATCCGTCGTCAAGTAGCCTCCATGCTCCGGATAGTCGCTGCCCGTCGAGTGGCTGTACTCCGGCGTACGCGAAATGTGTGGATACTTTTTCGAGCTGCAAAAGAGTTGTGTAAAAAAGCATTTGGTTGGTAGATTGGTGGGAGGAATCGTTCAATTGAAGAGTATAGATCTGTCGAGTACCGAACCAAACTACGCCTAGCAGGGGCTCTAACCCTAGCTGAGGAACTCATCTATTACTGTACGAAAACTGCACTCCATCCTAAATCCATCCAGTCATAAGTGAGCTTTCTTCTGACTGATTATTATTACGAGCAACAATGAAGAACTAACGCCTTGAAACTAATTCAGAGCCCACCCAATCCTCTGGTAAGTGCTTCGACCAATCACAGAGCGCAGCCAATGCGGACTACGACTATGATGGAGTTATCGTTATCCCTTCTAACAAGACGCGTCCGCACTCTGTGTATCGCATTCATGATCATTGTTAATCCCTGTCCCCAGGGGCTACTGCAGGAAATTACGTACCCGCCGGCTAACAGGGCCGTCGCAATGTTCCCTATAATGATATTTAAAACGGCTGCTAAATACGATGACAATTTTCGCGTTGGCTGGCACGCACAGGCCTGAGGGGCGGGGAGGAGGATGCTCTGAGGAACTTTGCATTTATCAGACACCAGAGAGACACACACAGAACTGGAACTGGGACTCGAGCTCGATAGGGGCAAGGGCAGGGGCAGAGCCCTGGATCGGCATGGATCCCTTGTTGCGGTGCTGCGGTGCTGCGGTGCGCTCCTTAATGTCAGCGGACATAAATGTAAATTGGGCGCGTGCAGCTATTGTATTATCAAAGGAGGCCGCCCCGACTCGGACAAGCCACCGTCGAGTCGGAGTAAGCAAAGAAGCTGCAGCTCATGGGCCTGGAGATGGAGATGGAGCTGGAGCTGGAGCAGAAGCTGAAACTGAGAATGAGGCTGTGACTGCGGCTGTGACTGTGGCTGTGGCTGAAGCAGTGGCCCTCGGTCTGGACCAGGTTCTTGGACCTTTATGCATAACTTTTAAAACTTGCGACATATCGACACATTTCAAAGTAATTCGCCTTCCAAGAATTCAGGCAGAGCGCGAAGCATGGAGAGCAGATCCGAAGACAAGTTTAAATATTGCCAAAGCTCCCGATCTCGATTCCGATTCCCGATTCCCGGTCGCTCCTCTGGGATCTGTTTCTGCTTCAGTATGCGTTCGTTCCCTTTCTTCCTTCGTTGCTCGATTTGTTACCGTTTGAATTTATTGCTGCCCACTACACTTTTGGTCTATTGTGTGCCCCAAAGCGGTAGTAGTCCCATCCATGCCACAGGGATCCAGAGAGCCAGAGCATTCAGCCCAGAGCCAGCCTGGCTGCCTCTTTTGCCTACCTACAACCTCTGGGCCTAATTGTTAGCCATGGCTATGGGCCCTCGACTCTTGGCTTTCGACTCTCAACTAGGCGCTCTAGTTCCGTGGACTTTCTTCGATGCAACAGCAGCAGCAGCAGCAGCAGAAACAGGAACAGCAGCCGCAGCAGCCGTTGACAATGCCGACAAAGTTGCAAATTTTTAGTTAGCCAAGTCTGTACCCAATCCATGCCCTTGCGACCCTCCCTGTCCTCTGTCCTTCCATACCAGACCCGACTCGACTCCACTCCAGCCAAGTCCAGCCACGGGATGAAGTCTCGATAATTTATTGAGGGTTTTCGGTGACGTCGTTACGTTTTTGATATTCGGTTGCGGCTGCCGCGGCTGTGGCCGCTAAATACTTCGCCGCCGCCGATACGCCGAACCGACGATCCGCCGTTCCAAAGGGGCGCAGGCACACAAAATTATACCGTCCGGGCTCCGCCGTCTGTCCGTCCGTCCGTCCGTCCATCCGACTTTCCGACTGTCCGACTGTCGGCCCGCTGTCCAACCTGTCCAAAACTGTCGACTGTGTCTGGTCGGCTTCGTTTCGTTTCGGTTCTGTTCTGTTTCTGAGTTTGAGTTTGAGTCTGGCTTTATCCTAAGCGCGCTCACGATCCACGAAGCAGCAAGCTCCTGCAGATGCGGCTAAGCCGCAGCTTCAGCTTCAGCTTAAGCCACTGCTGCTCTCCCCCATGCCCCATGCCCCATGCCCCATGCCACAAGCCTGCTCTGCTGGAGGACTGCTTAGCCATGGCCCTGATTTTAAAATAGGACACATACAGTGGCCGGTAAGTTGGCATTTTTATGCGCGCAAAATGTCAACATCTTTGCAAAATGCCACATATTCCACATTGC